TGCTCATCTGGGAATCCATGCGCGCGCGCAAAGCGTGCGCCGCAATTACGCCACCCAGAAGTGACGCAATCACGTCGGCCACGTTGGGGGCGGGGCCACAATCATCCGAGGGGAAACCATAGAGTTTTCCCTTGGATGATTGTGGCTCTGCCACCAACGTGCCCGATGTGATTGTGTCACTTCCGGGTGACGTGCTGATGCCGGGCATGTCGTGTGCTTTGGGAGTGGGTTCCCCCCCGGGGCCCGATCCTAGCCCCCGGGGCAGTGCCCCCTCCCGGATCTGCAACACTCCTCTCCCTCCCCTTCACTGCATGGTGCCAGGGTGGGGCGTTCTTCCCTCCCTGCCTGCAAAGCCTCGCCAGTTCTTCCAACGGCCTTAATTCCATTAACACACCTAATTTTATTGGTGTGTTAATTCAATTAGCCCCGCTAATTGAATTTGTGCTCTCCGGTGCCTCCCTGAAGAATCCGTAGCTACAGGCCTGGCCTACCTGCCTCACAGGGTTGTTGTGAGTAGTAAAGAATGACGTTGTGAGGTACTTTGGGTCCTCACTGAAGGAGAAGAGCAGGGTATAAGTATCTAAATCATAATAAAGATGGAGAGTGTCCGCCTCACTTCTGTCCCCCCATACTGAGAGTCAAGTTTGCTGGCGTAGCTGTTAACACAACGAAGGGTGTTAAATATAGCAGAGCGGGAATGAGGAAGGAAGCGAGGCCTGTGGACTCACCTGGGTCTGAACCGCAGCCGGCCGCTGCTTCCTCATTTCTAGGACGACATCAAAAATGCTGAAGTGTGGAGGGATTCTCTGAAAAACAGGAGAGAGTGTGGCACCAGGGGATACTCCAGGGGAACACTGGCAAAGTTAAGTATTTTAGTCAGGCCCTCTTCATTTCCCCCTCGGTTTTACTAGCCCTCAGTTCACTCAGGGTTCCCCACCGCTCACACGAGGGTGTCCTAAGGCAGGGGTCGAGAGAACGTGAGAGGGCAAAGGAAACAGGAACGTTTCCCTGGGAACCAACCTCTTGGGAGGCCAATATCATCTTCTCCCTAGTCTTTTTTTCTAAGACTGATTGAATACTGCTGCCCTGGGAAACTAAGCAGGGTCGGCCCTGGCTAGGATTTGGATGGGAGACCACCAAGGAATACCAGAGTTGTGACGGGGAGGCAGGCGATGGCAAACCACCTCTGAATGTCTCTTGCCCTGAAAACCCTACAGGGTTGATACAAGTCGGCTGCGACATGACAGTTTCCACTACCACCACTGAATGGAGAATCAGGTAGTGGACGTGTGCCTGGTTCATACATGCAAAGCAGGGAGGTGACAGAGTGCTGAAGTCAATCGAATGGACAGACGGCAGGTGGGGAATCCCATTTTGGAATGCGTCTATGCGTCCCTATGTTATAAACTCCCCACAAGCAGAAAGCCAGCAAGAAAGGCCTTTTCTTCCTGCTGTGCTACTTTTCTGTTTCCGTGGAGTTTTTGTCCCCCCCCCCCCCTAATGCGAAGGAACTTTCAAAGCTGGAATCAATCACGTCCAGTTTGAAGCAGTGGAGTCCATTCTACCATCTCAGGGTTCTGACACCTTATTATTTATTTATTTATTATCCCGCCCTCCCTGCCAAGGCAGGCTCAGGGCGGCTTACAGAGTATATGTTAAAACAGCAGAAAATGTTAAAACACAAGATTTAAATAAAACCACAACATATAAAATAAAACACATCACAAGGTGCTAGTACAATCATAAACGACGGCGGCATTCT